CCCCCGAAAAGAACAAGGTTCGGGGCCCCCGAGCCCCTCCAAAGCAGGCTCCAGGACCCCGACGCCCCCAAAAGTGTCCTGTGTGGTCTGTGTCCCTTCACCCCTCCAATACCGGGTCCCCATTTCTGCCCCCCCAAATGCACCAGGACACCGGACCTCCTCCAAAAACAGGCTCCAGGTCCCTCAAGCCCCCAAAGGGGCTCCCCCAGTGCAGTCCCCGCGTCCCTGTGACCCCCCCACCCCGGGTCCCTCCTGGGGGGAATTTGGGGATGTCCCCCCTTACTCACTCGCCCCCCACGGCGCGCACGCCCCCTGGCCACCCCCTCGCGTCATTCCCGCACACGCCCAGGCCGCTCCGGCACCCACGCGCGTCACTCCCGGGCCACCCTCGCCCCCCCTCCCGCGCCTTCACACCCCGGGACGCGCTCGCAGCCCCGCTCCCGGCACACCCACGCACCCACCCGCGGACACGGGGCCAACCCCACGCCCGCCCCGACACGCCGGCTCCCGCACACGGGCACTCGCTGGCACGCTCGGGGTCACTCTCGGAGACCACTCCCCACGGCCCCGACCCCCCCACGCTCCCCACACCCACTCGCAGCCGCACCCCCGGCCCTCCCGCGCAGTCACCCCCGCGGGGGCACGGCCAGCGCACGCTCACGCTCATTTGCACACGCACTCGCACGCCCAGAGGGTCTCCCCGGCACCCCTCGCACCCACTCGCGACGCGAACGCTCCCCACGCAGCCACGGCACGCCCGCATTCCCTCTCACACCCGTTTGCACGCTCAGTTCACACCTGGCCGCGCTTCCCCGCCCCCCCCCCCCCGCCGCACACCCACTCGCGAACCCTCTCACCCCCCGGGCGCTCCCGATCCCCCTCGCCCCTCGCCCCCGGCCCCCCCGGTACCTCTGCGGGCGGGGCCCCCGCAGCCGGCGGGCACCGGGACCCTGCGCAGGGCGCAGCCCCCACGGTTCGTCACGTCGTGCAGCCGCCGCGGCGCCGCCGCCGCCTCCACGCAGCCGAACATGGCGACCCCGGCCCCCCCCGGGCCCCTCGGCCCCGCCGCGATCGGTCGCGATCGGCCCCGGTCGCGATCGGCCCCGAGCGGCCCCGGAGGGTGCGGCTGCGGGGGCGGGGCCTGGGGGCGGGGGCTGCGCGAGGGGCGGGGCCTGAGCACGCTGAGGCTGGAAGGCGCGCGGGGAATGGGGCGGGGCCTGGGCGGAGGGCGGGGCTTCGGTGGGAGGTGGTGAACGGCGAGGGAAAACGGGGCGGGGCCTGGAGAGGCGGGGTAGTTTGGAATGTGAGAGATGGAGTATGGGCGGGGCTTAAATGGGCGGGGTTAAGCTGGGAACAGGGCCGGGGTTGAGATGGAGAGGCCTGGAAGGGGCGGGGCCTGGAGCGGCCGGGCTGAGCAGGAACGAGGCGCGGCCTCAGGGATGGGCGGGGCGGAGGCGGGTCCCGGGCGCTGCAGGGGACGTGGTCTGAGCGAGGGGCGGAACTCGTGGGCGGGGCTGGATGGGGAATGGGCGGGGATTGGAGCAGAGGGCGCGGTCTGGGGCGCGGAGGCGCGGTGTCGCGTACACACGTGTCACATGTGTCACACGGTATCAGGCGTGTTTGTCCCCTCCGTGTGTTCTCCCTCCCTGGGGGGCACCCAGGCCCCGCCCCCTGTCTCCCCCAGCCCCTCCCAGTCCTCCCAGTCCCCGCGTCGTCACGCCCTCCCCAGTCCCTCCCAATTCCACGCCGTGCACTCCCAGTCCTCATGTCATCACCCGTCTCCCCAGTCCTCCCAGTTCTTCCCGTCCTTTCCAGTTCCCTGTCACTGCCCCAGCCCTTCCCAGTCCCTCCCAGTCCCCTTGTCACCCCTCAATCCCTCCCAGTTCTACCAGTTCTCCCAGTCCCCCGCGCCATCTCCCCAGTCCTTCCCGGTCCCTTCCAATCCCCTTGTCACTTCCCCCAGTGTGTGCACTGTGGACAGGTGTGTGCCAGCATGTCCAGGTGGGCAAAGGTGTGCATGAGTGTGCAAAGCTGTGTGTGGGTGTGCAAGGGCTGTGCCAGCACTGCCTGCCTGACTGCATTTCTGGGGCTCTGCACGAGTAACCCACCTGCACACGGGATCCCTGCACAGCTCACACTCCTGCACACGGGATCCCTGCACAGCTCACACACCTGCACACAGGATCATTGCACAACTCACACACCTGCACACGGGATCCCTGCACAGCTCACACTCCTGCACACAGGATCATTGCACAACTCACACACCTGCACACGGGATCCCTGCACAGCTCACACTCCTGCACACGGGATCACTGCACAGGTCACTGCACAGGTCACACACCTGTACAGAGGATCACTGCACAGGTCACTGCATGTGTCACACACCTGCACACAGCTTGATCACATGTAAAGAAAGGCATGTCACACACCTGTACATGGGATGATCACATGTCACTGCACGTGTCACACACCTGTACATGGGATGATCACGTGTCACTGCACGTGTCACACACCTGTAGATGCGATGGTCACATGTCACTGCGCATGTCACACAACCTGTACACAGGATGGTCACATGTCACTGCACGTGCCACACACCTGTACATGCGATGGTCACATGTCACTGCGCGTGTCACACACCTTTACCCAGCCTCCAGTGAGCACACACATGTCTGGGCATGAGGACACGTGTGCAGGGTGTGTCCCTGCACATTACACACATGCACACACGTGTCCCCATGCCCGGACATGCGTGTAACCCCCTCCACCCCGCCTCCCCCCCCCCGTGCCGGGAAAACGGGAGGGGAGGGGCTGGAGTGGGGGAGGGGCAGGAATGGGCTCATGGAAAAAGTTTTGGGTGGAAATTCCTCTCCCCGCCCCTCCCCCAGTGCAGCTCAATGGCCCCTTTGTGCAGCCCCGGCCCTGCCCCTGCCACGCTGGGACCCCCCCGTGTGTCTCGCCAACCCCCGTGTCCCCCGTTTGCTCTCCCGTTTGTCCCCCCACGTCTCCCCACAGCCCCCACAGCCCCCATAATTCCCTGTGAGCCCCAATCGTGTCCCCCGTGTCCCACATGTCCCCAACCTGTGTCCCCCCAGCAGCATCCCCCCGTAATCCCCGTGACCCCCAAGTCACCATAACTCTGGGTCCACCCAATCGTGTTTGCCCACGTCTTTTGTGTCCCCTGTGACCTCCTCCTGTCCCCGGTGTCCCGTGTGTCTCCCCATGGCCCCCGCGTCCCTTATGCTGCCGCGTGTCCCATAACCCCTTCCTCCCCCCAGCCGTGTCCCCCATGTCCCCTGTGCACCCCTATGTTCCCTGTGTCCCCCAAGCTGTGTTCCCCATGTCCCCGCACATCCCCACGTCCTCCATATCCCGAGCGTCCCCCGTGTCCTGTGTGTCCCCCATGTCCCTGTGCCCCCACATTGCCCCCAAACTCATGTTCCCTGCCCTCAATTGCCTCCATGTCTCCTGTGTCCCCTGTGCCCCCCCAAGTCTCCTGTGCCCCCCGTGTCCCCTGTGCACCCCCATATCCCCTGTGCCCACTGTGTACCCCCATATCCCCTGTGCCCCCCTGTGTCCCCTGTGCACCCCCATATCCCCTGTGCCCACTGTGTACCCCCATATCCCCTGTGTCCCCCTGTGCTCTCCCGTACCCCCTGTGCCCCCCCGTGTCCCCGGTGCTCTCCCATATCCCCCGCCCCACTGTACCCCCCGCATTCCCCCTATCGCCAGGTCCTCCCCATGTCCCCCGTGTCCCCCCATCCCCCACGTTCCCCACGTCCCCGGTGTCCCCATGTCCCCTGTGTCCCACTCCGTGTCCTTATGTCCCCGTGTCTCTCACCCACGGGTGCCGCCACGTGCCCCCCCCCCGCTCCCCCCGCTCAGCCGCTTTGCCCGGTAAATCCCCGGGGGGGGGGGGGGGGGGCGTGGGTTGCGGGGGGGCGGCTCGGCCATGGGGCTGGGCTGGCCGCGACCCCGGCCCCGCCGGCGCGGGGGGACATCCCCGCGCTGCCCCCCGCCTTGTCACCTCCCGCCCTGCTGCGGCCCCCCGTACTGCTCCCTGCCCTGCCCCGTCTGCTCACCCCCCCTCTGCTGCCCCCAGTGCCACCCCCCGCCCTGCTGCGCCCCCTCCTGCTGCCCCCTGCCCTGCCACCCCTCCTGGTGCCCCCCACCCGCCTGTCCCCAGTGTCACCCCCCACCCCAGTGCTTCCCCCAGTGCTACCCCCTGCCCTGCTGTCCCCAGTGTGCCCCCCTGCCCTGCCACCCCCAGTGTCACCCCCCTCCCTGCTGCCTCCAGTATCACCCCCCGCCCTGCCGCCCCCCCTGCTGCGCCCCCCCCGCCTGTCCCCAGTGCCACCCCCCCGCCTGTCCCCAGTGCCACCCTCCAGCGTGTCCTCCCCAGTGTCACCCCCCCGCCTGTCCCCAGTGCCACCCTCCCGCGTGTCCTCCCCAGTGTCACCCCCGATGCTGCCCCCCCCCGCGCCGCGTCCCCCCCCGGCCCCGCCTGAGCCTCAAGTGAGGGGGGCCCGGCCCCCCCGCGCCGCAGCGCGGACCCCCGGAGGCGGCGGTGAGTGAGGGGCGGGCAGGGCAGCCCCCGGTACCGGAACACGGAGGTACCGGGGGTTACCGGGGGGGTTTGCTCTAGGCTCTTCGCACGAGCTCTCTGAGGGCGGGGGTCCCCACAAATCCCCCGCGGCTTGCCAGGGGGCGGCTCTTTGGGCTGGCATGCCGCAAAACCCCCGCGGGGGGTACAGTGGGGGACACTCGGGGGTCTCCGCAATCCCCCGTGCGCTGTCTGGGGGTCCCTCGGGGGGTCCCTACCGGTCCCCGGGGGTCTCTGGGGGTCTCTGTGGGCACCTGGGGGGCCCGCGAGGGGGCGGGGACACTGTGTCACGTGACACGGCCCAACATGGCGGCGCCCATGGGACCGGAAGCGGAAGTGGCTCGGCAGCGGCGCCGCGGAGCAGCTGCGACGCCGGCGGGGCCCGGGGGTATGGGGGGGACCCTGAGGCACCCGGGGGTTACCGGAAGGGATGGAGGGGCTTTGGAGCGTCTGAGAGGTGTCAGGGGGCATCCTATGGGGCAATTCTCGGGTCGGGAGGGGGCTATGGGAGTGGAGGGGGCTCTGTGTGGCGCTGTGGGGGGGGCTTAAGGAGGATTTGGGGTGCGAGGGTCCTGTGGGGGGGTGTGGGGGTTCTGTGAGGGTCTTATGGGAGTCTATGGAGGTTCTGTGTGGGGTTCGTGGGAATCTGGAGCGTGGGGTGTATGGGGGTCTGTGGGGGATTGTGGGCTGTGACAGAGACAGGGACACTGGGACAGCTCCACGGGGACACTGGAGTGGGACAGGGACATTGGGACAGCTCAGTGGGGATAGGGGCGCTGGGACATCTCGATGGGGACACTGAGGTGGGACAGGGACACTGGGCTGTGACAGACAGGGACATTGGGACAGCTCCAGGGGGACACCGGGGTGGGACAGGGACATAGGGGTGTACTGCTGGGGTGTGACAGGGACATTGGGACAGCTCAGTGGGGACACCAAGGTGTGACAGGGGCACTGACGGGGGGGTTTGGGGTCTGTGGGGGTTCTGTGGGGCCTGGGGGGAGGGGTCTGGGTGGCCTTGGGAGGAGCTGTGGGGACTGTGTGGCCTATCAGTGATGCTGGGGGTCCCTGTGGGGTGGGGGGTCCCTAGAGAACCCCTGGGCTGTCTGGGGAATTTGGGGCACCTGGGTGGCGTCTCTGGACTCTCCCAGTTCCTCCTAGTGCTGATCTTCCTTTTTCCCTTCCCCAGGCCCTCCTGAGCCCCCTCCCCACCATGTTCCTGCTGCCCTGCTCTGCCCTCGCCCTCCTCCTCCTCACCTGCCTGGCTCTGGAGCCGGCCCCGCGCCGCCCCCCGCCCTCCAACCCCGCGTTCCGCGGCTTCCAGCGGCGCTTCCTGCTGGGCTATCTGCCGGCGCTGGCCGCCGACTGGCTGCAGGGCCCGCTGCTCTTCCAGCTGCTGCACAGCCGCGGCTTCCTGCGCAGCCAGATCGCCGCCCTCTACTCCTGCGGCTTCGCCTCCAACGTCGCCTTCGGCCTCGTCTCGGGGCTTTTTGTGGATCGGCTGGGCCGGAAGAAATCCTGTGTGCTGTCGTCGGGGCTGTGCTCCGTGTCCTGCCTGCTGCAGCTCTCCCACGATTTCGGGGCCCTGGCGGCCGCCCGGGTCCTGGCGGGGCTCGGCACCTCGCTGCTCTTCTCGGCCTTTGAGTGCTGGTACCTCCACGAGCACCTGGAGCGCCACGACTTCCCTGCCGAGTGGATTCCTGACACCTTCTCGCGCGTGGCGCTCTGGAACAGCGGCCTGGCCGTGGCAGCCGGCCTGCTGGCCTGGCTGCTGGCCGAGGTGCTGCCGCTGGGCCCCGCAGCCCCGTTCCTGGCGGCGCTGCCCTTCCTGGCTCTCTCGGGGATCTTCGCCGCGAAAAACTGGGATGAGAACTACGGCAAGAGCCGGCCCTGCGGGAAGGCCTGCGGGGAAGGCCTTCGGGGCCTCGTGTCCGAGCCCCGGGCGCTGCTCCTGGGGCTGGTGCAGGCCCTGGTGGAGAGCATCCTGCTGATCTTCGCCTTCCTTTGGACGCCCGTGCTGGAGCCGCACGGGATCCCGCTGGGAATCGCCTTCTCGGCGTTCACGGCCGCCAGCGCCGCGGGCTCGGCGCTGTTCCGGCGCGGCGCCACCGGGAGGCTCCGGCTGCAGCCGCTGCGGCTCCTGCCCGGCTCCGTGCTGCTGCTGGCGCTGGCCCTCGTGCTGCTGGCCCTGCCGCTGGACGCCGCCGGCGATTTCCTCGCCGTGCTGCTGCTGCAGCTCTCCTGCGGGATCTACTTCCCGGCCATGGCGTTCCTGCGGCGCCGGCTGGAGCGCGGCGGGGACGCGGCGGGAGGGGCGCGGTGGCTGCGGCTGCCCCTGGGCCTGGCGGTGGCGCTGGCGCTGCCGGCGCTGCCCGGGGACCCCGCGGGGACGCGCGCCGTGCTCGGGGCCGCCGCCCTGGCGGCGCTGGTGGCGCTGGGGACGGCCGGGGGGGTCCTGGGCACCAGCCGTGGGGACGAGGGGCTGAGGGTGGGGGACGAGGGGCTGCTCGAGGGGGACACGGGGGAGTGACAGGCGCACCGGGACAGGGACACTGGGACAGCTCAGCAGCGACACCTGGCTCTGGTGGGGACACTGGGACAGTTTGAGGGGGTCACCAAGGTGTGACAGGAACACTGGGCTGTGACAGAGACAGGGACACTGGGACAGCTCGATGGGGACACCAGGGTGAGACAGGGACGCTGGGCTGTGACAGAGACAGGGACATTGGGACAGCTCGATGGGGACACCGGGGTGAGACAGGGACACTGGGCTGTGACAGAGACAGGGACACTGGGACAGCTCGATGGGGACACCGGGGTGAGACAGGGACACTGGGCTGTGACAGAGACAGGGACATTGGGACAGCTCCAGGGGGACACTGGGGTGGTCCAGGGACACTGGGACAGCTCCATGGGGACACTGGAGTGGGACAGGGACACTGGGACAGCTCAGTGGGGATAGGGATGCTGGGACACCTCGATGGGGACACTGGAATGGGACAGGGACACTGGGCTGTGACAGAGACAGGGACATTGGGACAGCTCCAGGGGGACACCGGGGTGGGACAGAGACATAGGGGTGTAATGCTGGGGTGTGACAGGGACATTGGGACAGCTCAGTGGGGACACCAAGGTGTGACAGGGACACCGAGATATGAGAAGGGCAGAGACACTGGGATGTGACAGTGACAGGAGCACCGGGACAGCTCAATGGGGATACCAGGGACACAGGGACAGCTTGGTGGAGCACTGGGATTTTACGGGGGCAAGGACAGTAACACCTGTCTGGGACAGGAACATTGGGGCAGCTCGACAGGGACACCAGAATGTGACAGGGTCAGGGACACAGGACAAGCCCATGGGGTCACCAGGCTGTGACGGGGTCTCAGTGTGACCCCTGTGCAGAGCTGTGAGTGACAGAAACACCCCATGGGGACACTGAGCGGTGAGGGGTCACAGTGTCAGCCCACAGTGGACTGTGGGTGGCTGGGACACCCCTTGAGGACACTGAACTGCAGTGGGTCACAGTGCCACCCCATGATGGACTTTGGGTGACAGTGACACTGGGACACCCCGATCATGACAAGGAACTGTGACAGGTCACGGTGTCACCCCCATGGATGAGCTGTGGGTGACAGTGACACTGGCACACCCCACTGGTGGTATTAAGCTGTGACAGGTGTGTCATCTCCATAATGAAGTGTAGGTGACAGTGACACTGGGACACCCCGATGGTGACAGAGCTCTGCTGGTGACCCATTACCAGTGCCATCCCAACGAGCTCTGGGTGGCAGCATGGGGACAGCCCGAGGTGACACTGAGCTGGGACAGATCACGGTGTCACCCCCATAACGAGGGGATGGGGACACTGGTGCACCACCAGGTAACCCCTGGGCTGTGACAGTCACAGTGCCACCTCCCCCACAGCACAGCAGAGGGGACCTGGGGACACCAGACCAGCTGTGGCCTGTGACCAGCCCCATGTGCTGGCATGGGGGTGGGGGTGTATTAATAACTTAATTAATTTCTAATAAACCCACCCAGTAGAAGTGTTTGTGAAGTCCTGCTCCTCCCCCTGGGTCTAGGGGACCCTGAAACCCCCCCAGAGCGGCCCCAGTTCAAACCAGTGACTCCCAGTCCAGCCACATCTCCAGTGCGAGCACAGCACTGCTTTGTCCCCAAGCTGAGCCCCTCAGTGCCCCCAGTATCCTCTAGTTCCCCCAGTCCTCCCAGTAACCCCCCCATCCTCCCAGTTCCCACCTGCCTCCACAGTTTCCTCCATTCCCCCAATCCCCCTCAGTCCTTCCTAGTCGTCCCCAGTTCCCCCCTGTTCTCTCCAGTTCCCTCCATTCCTCATGGTTTCCCCCAGTCCCTCCCAGTCCCCCCAGTTCCCCCCAGTCCCCCTCAGTCCCTCCCAGTCCCCCCCAGTTCCCCCCTGTTCTCTCCAGTTCTCTCCATTCCTCACGGTTTCCCCCAGTCCCCCCCAGTTCCCCCGTCCTGCAGGGGGCGCCCTCACGCGTCGCCCCCCATGCCTGCAACGTCACGTGATCGTGACGCGCGCTCCTCGCTTTCCTCGCTAGGCTCCGCCTTCCGCCCGTTTCGTCCTCCGATTGGCTGAGGGAGCCGTCAGTCGGGGCGCAGCGGGTGGCGATTGGTCCGCGGGGCACAGTGGGCGGGCACAGGGAGGCGGAAGCGAGTGGGACCCGGATGTGAGCGCGGCCCATGGAGGGGGCGGGACCCCCGGTAAGGGGCGCTGGGGGCTCCGGGGGAGATGGGGAGGGGTCCTGAGGAGCTCTGGGGGCACGGGGAGAGCCCGGGCTGGGGGGTACGGCAGCGATTTGGGGGTCCTGGGCGGAACCGGGGAGGTCGGGGGAGTCGCATGATGGGGGGCGGCCGCGGTGCGGAGGGAACGGGAGGGTTGGGGGGTGCTGGGGAAGGGAGACCCCCGGCATGGGGGAACCTTGGTGTGGGGCGGGGGTCGGGGTTGGGCTGCCAGGTGTGATTTGGGGGGATCAGGTGTGACTTGGGGGGGGGGGGGGGCAGGTGTGATTTGGGGAGGATCAGGTGTGATTTGGGGGCGGGCTCAGGTGTGATTTGGGGGCGGGGTCAGGTGTGGCTTTGGGGGTGTCAGGTGTGATTTGGGGGGCATCAGGTGTGATTTGGGTGTGCCAGGTGTGATTTGGGGGAGGTCAGGTGTGATTTGGGGGAGGTGTGGGTCAGGTGTGATTGGGATGTGCCAGGTGTGGGTTTGGGGGTGTCAGGTGTGATTTGGGTGTGCCAGGTGTGATTTGGGGGGAGGGGGTCAGGTGTGATTTGGGGTGTGCCAGGTGTGGGTTTGGGGGTGTCAGGTGTGATTTAGGTGTGCCAGGTGTGATTTGGGGGCGGGGTCAGGTGTGATTTGGGGTGTGCCAGGTGTGGCTTTTGGGGGGTGTCAGGTGTGATTTAGGTGTGCCAGGTGTGATTTGGGTATGCCAGGTGTGATTTGGGGTGGGAGGATCATCAAGTGTGATTTGGGTGTGCCAGGTGTGGGTTTGGGGGGAGGGGGTCAGGTGTGATTGGGATGTGCCAGGTGTGGGTTTGGGGGTGTCAGGTGTGATTTGGGTGTGCCAGGTGTGATTTGGGGGGAGGGGGTCAGGTGTGATTTGGGGTGTGCCAGGTGTGGGTTTGGGGGTGTCAGGTGTGATTTAGGTGTGCCAGGTGTGATTTGGGTATGCCAGGTGTGATTTGGGGTGGGAGGATCATCAAGTGTGATTTGGGTGTGCCAGGTGTGGGTTTGGGGGCGTCAGGTGTGATTTGGAGTGTGTGAGGTGTGGATTTGGGGTGTCAGGTGTGATTTGGGGGGCGTCAGGTATGATTTAGGGGTGCCAGGTGTGATCTGGGGGGATGTCAGGTGTGATTTGGGTGTGCCAGGTGTGGGTTTGGGGGTGTCAGGTGTGATTTACATGTGCCAGATGTGGATTTGGCTTGGTCACGTGTGTGTTTGGGGTGCCAGGTGTGTGTTTGGGGGCAGTTTTGGGGTGTCAGGTGTGTGTTTGGGGTGCCAGGTATGTGTTTGGGGGCAGTTTTGGGGTGTCAGGTGTATGTTTGGGCTTTCAGGTGTGTGTTTGGGGTGCCAGGTGTGTATTTGGGGGCGGTTTTGGGGTGTCAGGTGTATGTTTGGGGTGCCAGGTGTGTGTTTGGGGGCAGTTTTGGGGTGTCAGGTATGTGTTTGGGGTGCCAGGTGTGTGTTTGGGGTGCCAGGTGTGTGTTTGGGGGCAGTTTTGGGGTGTCAGGTGTGTGTTTGGGGTGCCAGGTGTGTGTTTGGGAGCAGTTTTGGGGTGTCAGGTGTGTGTTTGGGGTGCCAGGTGTGTGTTTGGGGGCAGTTTTGGGGTGTCAGGTGTGTGTTTGGGGTGCCAGGTGTGTGTTTGGGGTGTGAAAGGTGTGGGTTTGGGGGTGTCAGGTGTGATTTACATGTGCCAGATGTGGATTTGGCTTGGTCACGTGTGTGTTTGGGGTGCCAGGTGTGTGTCTGGGGGCAGTTTTGGGGTGTCAGGTGTGTGTTTGGGGTGCCAGGTATGTGTTTGGGGTGTGAAAGGTGTGGGTTTGGGGGTGTCAGGTGTGATTTACATGTGCCAGATGTGGATTTGGCTTGGTCACGTGTGTGTTTGGGGTGCCAGGTGTGTGTCTGGGGGCAGTTTTGGGGTGCCAGGTGTGTGTTTGGGGTGCCAGGTGTGTGTCTGGGGGCAGTTTTGGGGTGTCAGGTGTGTGTTTGGGGTGCCAGGTGTGTGTCTGGGGGCAGTTTTGGGGTGCCAGGTGTGTGTTTGGGGTGCCAGGTGTGTGTTTGGGGGCAGTTTTGGGGTGTCAGGTGTGTGTTTGGGGTGCCAGGTATGTGTTTGGGGTGTGAAAGGTGTGGGTTTGGGGGTGTCAGGTGTGATTTACATGTGCCAGATGTGGATTTGGCTTGGTCACGTGTGTGTTTGGGGTGCCAGGTGTGTGTCTGGGGGCAGTTTTGGGGTGCCAGGTGTGTGTTTGGGGTGCCAGGTGTGTGTCTGGGGGCAGTTTTGGGGTGTCAGGTGTGTGTTTGGGGTGCCAGGTGTGTGTTTGGGGGCGGTTTTGGGGTGTCAGGTGTGTGTTTGGGGTGCCAGGTGTGTGTTTGGGGGCGGTTTTGGGGTGTCAGGTGTGTGTTTGGGGTGCCAGGTGTGTGTTTGGAGGGCGGTTTTGGGGGATCTCGGGTTCGGGGGGTTCCTGGCCCATTTGGGGTGCCACTTTCGGCTGTGTCGGTCCCACCCGTCCTTTCGGGGGTCCCAGCGTTGCCTCCCCGCAGGAGCCCCCCCGCCATGGATGACCTGAACCTGCACTTCAGGTTCCTCAACTGGCGCCGGCGGATCCGGGAGATCCGGGAGGTGCGGGAGGGCCGGGACCGGGACCGGGATCGGGACCGAGATCGGGGCCTGCGCTGCCAGGAACGCGCCCGGCACATCCTGGTGGACGGGGACACCCTCAGGTACCCGGGGGAACCCCAGGAGGGGCTGGGGGCACCCCAAAAAGGGGCTGGGGGACCCAAGGAAGGAAGGAAGGAAGGTGGGGGGATGCACCCGGGGGGTGGGACGGGGCTGGGGGCACCCACGGAGCTGAGGGGGGTCTGAGGGTACCCGGGGGCGTCGGGGGGTGTCTCAGCCCCCGGTGCTGTCTCAGCCGTCCCCGCTCCCCGCAGCTACCGCGGCCCCTCGGGCGAGGTCGGCTGTTACGTGGCCCCGCGGCCGCTGACCCGCGACAGCAACTACTTCGAGGTGAGCCGGGGCTGCGGGGGCTGTCCCGGTGTCTGTCCCGGGGTCTGTCCCGGGGGTTGTCCCGGTGTCTGTCCGGGGGTTGTCCCGGGGTCTGTCCCGGTGTCTGTCCCGGGGCCTGTCCCGGGGGTTGTCCCGGGGCCTGTCCCGGGGGTTGTCCCGGTGTCTGTCCCGGGGCCTGTCCCGGTGTCTGTCCGGGGGTTGTCCCGGGGTCTGTCCCGGTGTCTGTCCCGGGGCCTGTCCCGGAGGTTGTCCCGGGGCCTGTCCCGGAGGTTGTCCCAGGGTCTGTCCCGGCGTCTGTCCCGGCGTCTGTCCCGGGGTCTGTCCCATTGTCTGTCCCGGGGGGCTGTCCCGTTGTCTGTCCCGTTGTCTGTCCCGGTGTCTGTCCCGGTGTCTGTCCCGGTGTCTGTCCCCGTGTCTGTCCCGGCGGACACGGAGCCCTGACCCCCCGGGCCGTGCCCAGGTGTCCATCGTGGACAGCGGCGTCCGCGGCACCATCGCCGTGGGGCTGGTCCCGCACTGCCACAGCCTCGAGCACCCCCCGGGATGGGGGCCCGGCTCCGTCGCCTACCACGCCGATGATGGAAAGTGAGTGTCGCGATAGCGGGGGGCGGGGCCGCGAGGGCGGGGATTGTTCGGGGAGTGGGGATGTCGCGATAGCTAGCGGAGAAGTGTTGGGATAATTGCGGGTGTTGGGCTAGTAAGGAATTTCAGGACGCTGGTAGATGTCAGGATGTGAAATGAAGGATTAAATTATTTGGGATTTTAGGGGTATTGGGATAGCAGGCGTGTCGGGATATTGGGGACTGTTGGGACATTGGGGGTGTCAGATATTGGGGAGTGCTGGGACCTTGGGGGTGTTGGATATTGGGGAGTGTTGGGACCTTGGGGGTTTTGGATACTGGGGAGTGTTGGGGCCTTGGGGGTGTTGGATATTGGGGACTGTTGGGACATTGGGGGTGTCAGATATTGGGGAGTGTTGGGACATTGGAGGTGTCAGATATTGGGGAGTGTTGGGGCCTTGGGGGTTTTGGATATTGGGGAGTGTTGGGAGCTTGGGGGTGTTGGATATTGGGGAGTGTTGGGGCCTTGGGGGTTTTGAATACTGGGGAGTGTTGGGACCTTGGGGATGTCAGATACTGGAGAGCGTTGGGACCTTGGGGGTGTTGGATATGGGGGGAGCCAGGGGGGCAGCAGGACTGGGAGGTGTTGGGAGGCACTGGGGCCTGTCACGATATTTGGGGTCTGCTCCAGGTTTGAGATCCCCCCTTAGTGACACTCCCCCCAATCTGACCCCCCCTTTTCGGGGTCCCCCCCGGTTTTGGGGTGCCCCAGGCTCTACAGTGGCCGGGCCAAGGGGCGCCAGTTCGGCTCCAAGTGCAGCTCTGGGGACCGGATCGGCTGCGGCGTCGAGAGGGGCTCGTTCGGAGCCCCCCCAGCCCAGGTTTTCTTCACCAAGAACGGCCAGAGGGTGAGGGGATCCCCCCCCACTTCCTACTTTGGAGTTTCCCTAAATCCCGGATGGGGGGCCTGGGGGTGCCCCTGAGCCCCCCTGACACCCTGACTCCCTCAATTGCAGGTGGGGGGTCTGGGGGTGCCCCTGTCGCCCCCGGGGCTGTTCCCAGCCGTGGGGCTGCACTCGCTGGGCGAGGAGGTTCGGCTGCACCTGCCCCCCCCCGGGCCCCCCGAGGATGAGGGGGGGGGCCATGCTGGTGGACAGCCTGGAGGAGGAGTGGGGGAGGCTCCATGACGTGCGGCTCTACGGCTCCGTGAGCACCCGGGAACCCGGGGGGGGAAATGGGGGCTGGAGCCTCCCCCAGGGCTGGGGATGGCCCAGGGAGGTGGGGAGGGGGCTCAGAATGAGGGTGCAGGGGAATGGGTTGGATGAGGTTGGACCCCCTCCCTGGGTTGGGAGGTCAGAGATTGAGGTTATGGGGTGAGAAGAACGGGGCTCTGGGAGTTGGGTGAGGACAGTTTTGGGGATGGGACAAAAAGTGTCCCCCATCCTGGGGAGGGTGAAAAGGGGGGCTGTGACACGGGACTGGGGTAAGGGGGTCCCAGCAGAAACAACCCCAGGAGTCTGGGGGTTCTTGGGTGCCCCTCAAATCCCCTGTGCATCCCCCCCAACCCTCTATGGCTCCCCCCCCTCAGCCCCTGTGATCCCCCAATTCCCCCAGCACCGCTCAAACCCTCCCAGGTGCTGTTTTTAAGTGGGAAGGGAATGAATTTTGTGGATCTGGAGCCGGTCCACGTTGGGGGGTGCCCCCTTTCCCCCCTCTCTGAGCCCCCCCGCGCCCTCCCAGGTGTTGGAGTACGTGGGGAAGGGGAAGAGCATCGTGGATGTGGGGCTGGCCCAGGCGCGGCGGCCGCTCAGCCCTCGCAGCCACTACTTCGAGCTGGAGATCCTGGACCCCGGCGAGAAGTGCTACATCGCCCTGGGCGTGGCCAGGAAGGTGCGCGGGGGCTCGGAACTGGGGTACGGGGGGCTGACGGGGGTGGAGACACCTACGGAGCTGGGGGTGCTAGGGAAGTGGGGGGATGTGGGTTAAAAATGGGGGTCTGGGGGTTACAGAGTAAGTAAAGGGGGGCTGGAGCCTCCTCCAGGGCTGGGAGTGGCCAAGGAAGGAGGGGAGGGGGCTCAGGTTTGGGGTACGGGGGGGCTGGAGCTCTTCCCCGAAAGGTGGGGGAGAGGTGTCAGAAATGAGGGTTTGGGGGGTAAAATTGGGGTCTGTGAGTTGGGGGAGGGCTTGACCCCCCCACATTGCCATTGCCTTCACCTCTCTCCCTCCCTTGTGCCCCGCCCAGGATTACCCCAAAAATCGTCACCCTGGCTGGAGCAGGGGCTCGGTGGCCTACCACGCAGGTGAGCCCCCAAAAGTGGGGGGGACCCCCAGATGCCAGAACCCCCCAAACACGGGACCCCAATAGTGGGACCTCCTCCTACTCTTTCTGCCCCTGAAAACCCCTTTCCCATTTTTCCTCCCTATTTTGGGTTGCACCCCTATAATGAGGGTCTGGGGTCTCCCCCATTACCTCGGGGGTCCCCCCTAATTTGAGGGGTCCCCATGGCTCCTCCCTTCTCCCTTCCTCCATCTTTTTCCTCTTCATGCTATTCCTTTCCCAACCCAGTATCCTCCCTTTTTTTGGGGCGCACTTCTATGGGGAGGTCTGAGAGGTGTTTCCAGCCCCTTGGGGGGGGCCTATGGCCTCTTCTCCCCCTTTTCCACCCTTTTAGCTCCTTTCTCCCCCTTTTCCCTTCCCTTCCCTTCCCTTCCCTTCCCTTCCCTTCCCTTCCCTTCCCTTCCCTTCCCTTCCCTTCCCTTTCCCTTTCCCTTTCCCTTTCCCTTCCCTTTCCCTTCCCTTTCCCTTCCTTTCCTTTCCCTCCCTCTTCTGTTTTTGGGATGCAGCCCCATGGGAGGGCTCCTCCTCATGACGGGATTTGGGGATCCCTCTGTGCACCCCCATCCCCAGTTGTCCCCTTCTCCTTTTCCCTTCCTCCTCCTCCTCCTCCCCTTTCTCTGCCCATTTCTCCCCCTTTCTTTGGGGTGCACCCCCATGGAGGCTATCTTGGGGTTTCTTCACGAACAAGGGGCTTCCCCCTAATCGGGGTCTCCCCTACAGACGACGGAAAGCTGTTCCACGGCAGCGGGGTCGGAGATCCCTTCGGCCCCCGCTGCTACAAGGGCGACGTGATGGCTGTGGGATCATGTTCCCTCGGGACTACGGCCGGGACAGCGAAGGTACCGCGGGCTGCGGCCCCCGAGGCTGGGCGGGCTCGGGCGGGCCCCTCACCCCTGTCCCCGCCCCAGGTGACAGCGATGACGCCTCGGAGCCCCCCGAGGTGAAGGTGAAGGTGCGCAACGTGATGTACCTGGAGGAGGAGGAGGAGGAGGAAGAGGAAGAGGAGGAGGAAGAAGAGGATGGGGAGGACATGGAGCAGGAGCAGGAGGGCAGGAAGGTCGTGGTAAGGGTGGGGATACCCCGCAAAAAAAAAAACCAAAAAATCTGTGCCCTAAAAAAGCCCCCAAAAAGCTCCTCCTTCACCCCAAAATTCTCCTTTGTCCATCGTAGGGATCCTTTTGAATCAATCTGGGGATTTTGGGGGGCTTGGGGTGTCCCACCCCCCTAATATTTTAGGGTGAGCCCCGGTTTGTCTGCGATCCCCACACGTGTTTGTGCCGCACCCCTGGACCCTCCATCACACCAAAAATCCCCCCTGCAGCTCCCTTGGGTTCCCTTCACAGAGCCTCACCCTGGGGTCACCCCCTTTGCCCCCACTTTATTGGAGATTGGGGTCTCCCCACCCCCCCCCTCACATTTTCGGGTGACTCTGCTGTGTGTCCCTGAACCCCCCTCCATGTGTTTGTGCCCTCTCACCCCAAAAATCCCCCTACACCCCACTTTTGGCTCATCTTTCTTGCCTTACTCCCCCCCTTCACCCCTGTTATTTGGGGGAGGGGGTCTCTGCTGGCCCCAGTCTCGGGGTGACCCCCCGGTTTGTGCTCCCCAGGTGTTCTTCACACGGAACGGGATGGTCGTGGGGCGCAGGGAGGTTGGGGTCCCCCCGGGGGGCTCTTCCCCACCGTGGGGATGCTCAGCACTGGTGAGAAGGTCAAGGTGGACCTGCACCCCCTGAGTGGATAAAGGGGGGTCCGCGTGGGGTCCCCCAAAACCTGAAACCCTGCGGTGCTCCTGGTGCCCCCCCGGGCCCTCCCAGTGCACTTTAGGGGGTTTCCACAGCAGTGGGGACCCCCCCAAGGTGGTTTTTAGGGGGTTCACTCCTGCCCCCACCCCCGTAATGTCCCCCTTGGGGCCTCTTTGGGAGGGGGGTTCCCCTCATTGAATCCCCCCTCAAAAGTACCCCACCCATGCCCCCCTAGATGGTTTTTGGGGAGTCTCAGCCATGGCCCCCTCATTTTTGGGGGACTCAATCCTGTCCCCCCCCCAGTTATCCCAATGACCCCCAGGTGGATTTGGGGGTGTCAGTCCTGCCCTTCCACAACGGGTGACCCTCGTGCCCCCCCAGAGCCCCCCAAATCAACCCCTTGACCCTCCCCAGCCCACCCAACCGCTCCCACTCCACTGACCCCCAGTGCCCCCCAAATCACACTTGCACCCCCTCATCTCTTCCAGCACTCCCTATTCCTGGGGGGGTTCCAGGGGGCAGAATTTGGGGTCCCCATCATGAATGTAACCAGACCCTTCCAATTCATGGAATCCCCAGAGTCCCCAGCTCCGTGCTGGGGGCTGGGCTGGTTTTGGGGTCCCCTTTGATGTTTGCACATGGCGGCGGGGGTCCCCATGCCACCCCCCCCCACCAAATAAACCCATTTCTTACACCAAAATAAATGTAGATTTATTGGGGTTCCTCCAGCACCCCCAAATTGCCCTGTGCCCCCTTTTCTACAACCTCCACTTCTTCACTTGAGGGGACGGTCAGGGGGGTGTAGGAGGTTTTGGGGGCCTTCAAGGGCTGGGGAGTATTTGGAGGGGTCTGGGGAGGGGTTTAAGGGGGAGTTTGGGGGTCCCCAGTAGGACTTTGGTGCTTAAGATGGGGGGAAGGACGATTATGGGGGTCCCCTTGTGCTCCCTCAAATCGGGGGTGTCTGGGAGGGTTTGGGGGATCTGGGGGTGGTTTTGGGGGGTTTGGGGGTGTTCAAGACCATGGTGATGAAGGTGATTGTGGAGGGGGTTGGTTATGTGTGTCTCCCTGTCCCCTCCCCTTGGACTCTGGGGTGTTTTGGGGGTCCCCTGATGTTTTTGGGGGTCTCCAGGGGATTCTGGGGGTCCCTCAGTGTCGTGTCCCAGCAGGACCTCCGTGAAGGGTGGGGGGAGTCCCACTGGGTTTGGAGGGTGCCCCCGAGTCCCCCATGCCTCGGGGGGGTTTGGAGTCCCCAGGTGGTTTTTGGGGTGCAAGGGCGGTCCCCGGTGTCCCTCAGTGCCGCGTCCCCAGCAGCACTTTGGTGACGAAGGTGACGATGGCCCCCGCTGGCTGCTCGGGGTCCAGCTCCGCGAACACGTGGCACGCATTGCCCCCCCCCGGGGCCCCCGCCTGCTTCGCCACGAACCCGAAAATCCTGGGGGGGCCGGAGGGGGGGGGAAGGGGGGGGAGGGTAAGGCCAGAGTCAGAGCCGTGCCCCCCCCTCCTTCCCGGGGGTCCCGTTCTGGGGGTCTCCCCACCTACCTGGCCGTGGTCCCGTCGGGGTTTGCCCACCTGGGGGTGGTTGGAGGGGTTGGGAGGGTTTGGGAGGTGGGGGTTCCCCCCCATGCCCTCCTTGTGCCCCCTCTGTCTCCGTACCCTCCTGTGCTCCCCCCGTGGCCGCCCTCTGCCCCCCCCGTGCCCTCTCCGTGCCCTCCCTGTACCCCCCGTGCCCCCCGTGCTCCCCTGTGCTCCCCCGTGCCCCTCCGCTTCCCCTCCTCGTGCCCCCCCAGTGCCCCCCCCATGCCCTCCGTGCCCCCCCCCGTGCCCCTCCGTACCCCCCGTGCTCCCCCGCTTCCCTCCTCGTGTCCCCGGTGCCCCCCGTGCCCGCTCACCGGCGCTCCTGCGGGTCGGTGCCGCAGTGGGTGACGCTGCTCACGGGGTAGTGCCGGCGGAAAAACAGCCTGGGGGGGCACCGGGGGGGGCACGGGGTGAGGGGAGGCGTGGGGGGCAGGGCAGGGTCGGGGGGTGCCGAGGGGTTTTGGGGGATTCGGGGTTTCCAGGGGTTGGTGGTTCGGGACGCGCTTTGGGGCGTTTGAGGTGTCGGTGTTTCGGGGGTTGGGAGGTTTGGGGGGCTCGGTGGTTTTGGGGGGATCTCGGTTTGAAGGGACCCTGGTGTGGGGGTTGGGAGGTTTGGAAGGGTCGGGGTTTGGGGTAGGGGCGATTAGCGAGGTCTGGGTTTAGGTTGGGGGGGTTAGAGGAGTCTGGGTTTGGGGCTTTGTGGGGGGCTCAGAGGGGTCTGGGTTTGGGTTCGGGGGGTTCGGGGGTGCCTCACTTGCGCTGCCGGTCCGTCAGGGTGATCCCCTGCACCGACACCTTGAAGTGCACGGGGCTGGGGGGGGGCCGCGGGGACCCCCCCGTGCTCGGAGCCCCTCCAGGAGGGACCCCACGGCCTTGGCCACGGCCTGGGGCCCAGTCAGGGCCTCGGTGCCCACCGAGCCCAGGAACAGCACGGAGCAGGCTGGGGGGCAACGGGGGCAGCTGCTCAAACCAGGACCAGCACCCCAAACCCGGGACCAGCACCCCAAACCCGGGACCAGCCTCCCCAAAATCAGGACCAGCACCCAAAACCAGGACCAGCACCACAAAACCAGGACCAGCACCCCAAAACCAGTACTAGCACCCCAAAACCAGGACCAGCCTCCCCAAAACCAGGACCAGCACCACAAACCGGGACTAGCACCCGAAACCAGGACCAGCACCCCAAAACCGGGACCAGCACCCCAAAACCAGGACCAGCACCACAAACCCAGGACCAGCCTCCCCAAAACCGGGACCAGTGTCCCGAAAACCGGGACCAGTGTCCCCAAAACTGGGCCCAACCTCCCCAAAACCGGGACCTGCCCCCGCAGTGCCCCCTGTCCCGATGCCAACCCCACACGGTGTCCCCAATGCCCGTGCCTGCAGTGCCCAGTGCCCCCCACCCCAGTGCCCCCCGTGCCCAGCCCCACCTGCCCCCTGCCTCAGGAGGGCTCCGGCCGTGCTGACATTGGGGGGTCCCGGCGGCTCCGGGGGCTCCTCCTGCAGCTCTGGGGAGGAAGGCTCAGGGTGGGGGGGGCGGCCGGGCCCCCCTGGAACTGTCCGGGCCGGGGGAGTTTGGGGGGGTCTGGGGGACTTTTGGGGCTGGAGGAGTCTCTGAGGGGTCCCAGCAGCTTTTCGGGGGGGTCTCCGCTGTTTTGGGGGTGTCCTCGCAATTTTGGGGGTTCCCGCGGTTTTGGGGCTCGCACGGTTTTGGGAAATCCAGCGGATGTTCAGGGGGTCCACGTGGGGGTTTTGGGGTGTCCTCGTGGTTTGTGAGGTGTTCCCTCGTCGGTTTTGGAGGTTTCCCAGGGGAGTTTTGGGAGTTTCCCTGGGGAGCTTTTGGGGGGTTCCCGGGAGTTTGGGGGTGTCTCCGTGGGGTTTTTGGGGTGTCTCCCATGGCTTTGGGTTTCTCCCGGGGGCTTTTGGTGTGTCCCGTGAAGGAGTTGGGGAGGTGTACCCGCACTTGGAGGGGGTGTTCGCGTGGCGGTTTTGGGGTGTCCGCAGGGTTTTGGGGTGTTCCCGCAGTTTTTGGGGTGTTCCCGCAGTTTTTGGGGTGCCCACCTGCGTGGGGGATGCGGAGGGTGCAGGGCAGTGAGATGGGGGTGATGGAGTGCTGCAGCACCAGCGCTGGGAGGCTCCCTGAGGAAAGAGGGGTCAGGGCACCCCAAAACCCCCACGGGCTGCCCGAAGCACCCACAGATTCCCTCGGACCCCAACCCGCCCCCCCCACCGACCCCTCTGAGCCCCCCAGAGCTCCCCTTGAGACCCCACTGACCCCCACAGCCCCTCCCACGGCCTCCCCAAGCCCCCCTCCCCCCAGAACCCCCAGTGCCCCCCCCGAGCCCCCCTCACCAAAGTAGGGCTCCTCGGGGCACCCCCGGATTTTGACGCCCTCGGGCCCGTCTCGATCAGGAAGTGCCGCACCAGCTGCTCCTGGGGGTCCCCTGGGGGGCCGGGGGGCGTCAGAGGCCAGCGAGACCCCCGAGATCGCCCCCGCCCCACCAGGGGGTGTCCTTGGTGGGGGTCCGGGAGGGTTCAGGGGGTCTTGGGGGTGTCCAACCCCCCACGGACCCCCAGGGGATTTTCTGGGGTGACAGGGTGTTGGGGGTGTCAGAGCCCTGGAGACGCCCGAGACCCCCCTCCCAGCCCCTCAATATTCCATAGGGGAGAAGTGGATTTGGGAGGGTCTGTGGGGTTCGGGGGGGCCATACCCGCTCTGGAGGCGGCGCGGGGGGGCGGGACCCCCACCCTGAGCGCCAGCCCGAAGGCCCCCGGGAAGCTGCTGCTGCGGCGGACGAGGAACGAGCCGGGCGGGGCCGCCTTGAGCAGCGCCACGGCTGGGGAGACACGGGGGGGTCACACGGGGGAGGGGGCACACGGGGGGGACCCCCACCGACCCCCCCCGTTCAACCCTGGAAGCCACCCATAGACCTCAGCCATGAGTCCCCCCATAGATCCCTCACTGACCCCCCGGTGCTCCCCCACAGACCCCCCACAGCACCCACTGACCCCCCCACTGAGCCCCCTCTTCACTGACCCCCCCCTCACTGACCCCCCCTTCACTGACCCCCCCCACTGACTCCCCTGACCCCCCCTCACTGACCCCCCACATCACTGACCCCCCCCACTGACTCCCTGACCCCCCCTCACTGACCCCCCACATCACTGACCCCCCCCACTGACTCCCCTGACCCCCCCTCACTGACCCCCCACAGAACCCACTGCCCCCCCCCCTCCCCGACCCCTCCGTGCTCCCCCCTCAAGCCCCCCCAGCCCCTCAACCCCCCTCAATCCCCCCTCGACCCCCCCAAACCCCCCCCACCCTCCCAACCCCCCCGGCAGTTCCCGGCCCCAATGCCCCCCCAGCCCCTCGGGGATCCCCGCGCCCCCCCCTTGCCGCCCCCCCCGTACCTTCCTCCCGGGACAGCCCCGGTTTGTACCAGAACTTGCTCGTGTCCTGCACGAAGGTGCCCCCGGGGGGGGTCCCGCCCGGCCCCTCCCCCGCCGAGGGGGCTCCCTGGGCCCCCCCCGGGCTGCGCTGGGGTGAGGAGGGGTCGCGGGGCCCCCCCGGGGCCGGCGGGTGCCGCTTCTCGGGCAGGGGCGGCTGCGGGGGCGGGGGGGAACCGGGGGTGCCGCTGCCGGGGGAGGGGGCGCGGGGGGGGCCCGGCCAGGGGGTCCCCTCAATGGGGCTCCGCCGTCCTGGGGGGGCACAGAGAGAGAGGAGACCCCCAAAAACCCTCTGAGGGGGGGGGCACAGAGAGAGAGGGGAGACCCCCAAAAACCCTCTGAGGGGGGGGGGCACAGAGAGAGAGGGGAGACCCCCAAAAACCCTCTATGGGGGGGGCACAGAGAGAGAGGGGAGACCCCCAAAACCCTCTGGGGAAGGCACAGAGAGAGGGAGACCCCCAAAAACCCTCTATGGGGGGGGCACAGAGAGAGAGGAGACCCCCCAAAACCCTCTGGGGGGGCCTCCACAGACCTGTCCCCGATGGCTCCTTTCCCCCGGCGCTCCCCAACACCCCCGGGCCCCCCAGGTACCCCTTTAACCCCCCCAAATCCTCCCAGCCTCCCTCAGTTTAGGCCTCAGCTCCCCCAAGCCCCTCTGTGGCCACGACCCCTCCCCAGAACCCCCCAGCCCCTTCGGACCCCCTCAATCCCCCCTTTAATGCCCCATAACCCCCACCAAGCCCTTTTCGATCCCTGCAAACCCCAAACACCCCCCAGCCTCCCATTAACCCCTTCACTCCCCCATCGTTACCTGTCGGCTCCTGGGGCTCCCCCACGGCGGGGGGGTCGTAGCCCCCTTTTCCGGGGGGGGGGGTCCCGCTCCGCTCCCAGCCCCGGGCGGCCGCAGTGGGGGCAATTTGGGGGCTCCGGAGGCGGCGCGGGGGGGTCCCCCCAGCCATGGCCGCCGTAAACGGGGCGGGTGGGCAGCGGGGAGATGCCCCCCCAGCCCTGGCAGTCCTGGCAGGGGCAGAGGGGCGGGAGCCCCCCCAAAAGCAGGTACCCCCCCGCCACGGGGCGCCCGTAGCTCCCCCACGGGGGGAACCCCTCGGACAGCGAGCGCTGCACCCCCCGTTTGGGGGGGTCCCGGGAGGAGGCCAGGCTGGCCCGGCGGCACAGGGGGGGGCCACGGGGGGGTCCAGGTGCTGGGGGGGGCCCAAGGGCTCGGGGGGGTGGGGGACACCGGGAGGCTGTGAGCGGCACAGGGGGGGCTCTGGGGCGCTGCCATGCCGTGGGGTGCGGGGGGGCTGTGCACTGAGGGGGGGCTCTGGGGCGCTGCCATGCCGTGGGGTGCGGGGGGCTGTGCACTGAGGGGGGCTCTGGGGCGCTGCCATGCCGTGGGGGTGCGGGGGGGCTGTGCACTGAGGGGGGGCTCTGGGGCGCTGCCATGCCGTGGGGTGCGGGGGGGCTGTGCACTGAGGGGGGGCTCTGGGGCGCTGCCATGCCGTGGGGTGCGGGGGGGCTGTGCACTGAGGGGGTCCCGTGGGCTCCCGGGGGGCTCAGGGATGCGGGGGGCCCGTGGGACATGGGGGGGGGCTGGGAGTCCCTCGGATATCGGGGTGATGTGGGACATGGGGAGGCCGGGGGATGCCGGGGTGCCGTGGGGTTTTGGGGGGCTGTAGGATGTCGGGGAGCTGTGGGGGGCTGGGCTCTCCCGGGATGTCGGGGTCCCGTAGGGGGTCAGGCTCTCGTAGATCAGTGGGGTCCCGTGGGGGATTGGGGGGCTGTAGGACACCGGGGACTTCTGGGCTGGGGGGGGGCTCTGGGGCGTGTGGGGGCCCTGGGGTGTTGGGGATCCGTGAGATGGGGGGGTCCCATAGGATTTTGGGGTCCCATAGGGCGATGGGGACCCCTGGGATGTTGGGGTGCCGTACGGAGTCGGGGTCTCCAGGGATGTTGGGGTGCCGTGGGACGCTGGGGGGCTGTAGGGCAGCAGCGAGCCCTGGAATGTGAAGGTCCCCTGGGATCCCAAGGTGCTGTTGGGCACCAGGGTGTCCTGGGAAAGTGGGGTCCCGTGGAATGTCGGGGACCCCCGGCATATTGGGGTCCTGTGGGTGCCATATGGCGCGGAGACCCCGTGCGATATTGGGGTCCCGGGGGATGCTGGGGGGCCATGGGGCGCCGGGCTCCCGTAGGAAGCTGGGGACCCCTGGGGTGCTGGGGGGCCATGGGGTGTCAGGGTCCCGTAGGGCTTTGAGGGGTCATAGGGTGTGGGGGAGCCCTGGGGTTTGGGGGCTCCACAGGATGTGGGAAAGCCGTGGGGTGTCAGGGTCCCAGGGGGGCTGTGGGGAGTGGGGGTCCCGTGGAGTGGGGGGGTCCCGTGGGATAGGGGGGTCTTATGGGATACTGGGGTCCCATAGGACAGCGGCGTTCCGTGGGACGGGGGGGTCCCGTGGGATACGGGGGTCTCATGGAAGGGGGGGGTCCCGTGGGATATCGGGGTCCTGTAGGGTGTTGGATTCCCGTAGGGCGCTGGACTCCCGAGTGCCTCGGGGCTCCCATAGGCTGTGGGGGGTCCCAAGCGCTTCGGGGTGTCGGGGGGCTCCTCCCCCGGGCCGGGGCTCTCGCGGCCCCCCCGAACCCGAACCCCCCCAGCAGCTGCTCCAGCTCCCGGCGCTCGGCGGCCGTGGGGGGCGGGGGGCGGCCGTGGGGGGCTCCGGGGGGGGGCGGGGAGTCAGAGTCCCCCCCGTGGGAGGAGGGACCCCCCTTCTTCTGCACGCGGGCGTAGGGGCTGCCATCCAGGGGACCCCAGGTGTGGGAGGGCTCTGGGCGGGAGAAGGGCAGTCAAACCCCCCTCCACCCGCACCCCCAAACCCCAACGGGGCCCCGCGGAACACCTCGGGATCTCCCGTGCTCTCCCCCACCCCTTCAGGCCATGGGGACCCTCCCGTACACCCATGTTGCCCCCCAAAGCCCCCCATGCACCCCAGTTCCCATTGGCATTTTCTCCAGGCGTGGTTGAAGGGGGGACCCCCCGGCCCTCCCCCAAAGTCCCTCGTGCACCCCCAAAGTCTCCTCGGCACCCCCAAACCCTCCCAGGCACCCACCTCTGACACTCCAGGTCACCCCAGCACCCTCCAGCACCCTGAGAGCCCCCAAACCCCCATCACAGGGTCCCTCCTCCCGCACCCCAATTCCCACCCGGCCCCCACGCTCACCCTCGGGGCTGTCCCAGGGCTCCTCAAAGGAATCGCGCCGCACTGCGGGGTCCCGCACCCCATAATCGATGGGGGTGGCGGGGGGGCCGCGGGGGGCGACCCAGCCTGGGGAGGGGCAGCAGGGTGGGAGGTCATGGGGGGCAATGGGGAATCGCCGCTGCTCTCTGCCCCCCAAAACCCGAACACCCACCTTCGACCCTCTCGGGGCCTGAGGAGAAGATGAACTCGACGGTGGCGTCGGGGGGAAGCGCTGGTCTGGGGGGATCAGCAGGAGGGTTTGGGGGGGTAGGAGAGTGAGGATCCTCCTAACCAGCACCCCCAAATCCCCGGTGGTGCCATTCACAGCCCTCAGCCCCCAAACTGCACACCCCAATTCCCCCAGCACCGCCCTGCTTGCTTTCATCTGGGGGGTCATGGGGGAACTGGGGGTGTTCCTGTTATTTGTGACCCCAAATCCACCCATGCCTCCCTCCAGATAAAATCTGAGTCACCCTAACACTAACCCTAACTCTACCACTAGACCCTAACCCTAACACTAAACCCTAAACCGAAACCAACCTTAACCCTAACCCTAATCCTAACCCAACGACTAAACCCTAACCCTAAACCTAACCCAAACCCTAACCCTAACCCAACCTTAACCCTAATCCTAACCCAATGACTAAACCCTAAACCTAATCCTAAACCTAACCCAACCCTAACTCTAACCCTAACCTAATGACTAAATCCTAACCCTAACACTAAACCGTAACCCCGAAACCAACCTTAACACTAATACTAACCCAATGACTACAACTTAAGCCTAACCCTAACCCAAACCCTAACCCTAACCCAAACCCTAACCCTAACCCTAACTCTAACCCTAACCTAATGACTAAACCCTAACCCTAACCCAACCTTAACCCTAATCCTAACACAATGACTAAACCCTAAGGCTAACCCAACCCCAACCCCAACCCCACCCCCAACCCTAATCCTGACCCCCCCCGAGCACCCCCAAACCCCCCCCGTCCTCCCGCGCCCCCCCAGCCCCGCAGCCCCCCGGCTCTCCCGGCCCGTGCCCCCACCTTGCCAGGCCAGGTCCAGCTCGTCCCGGCGCAGCCTCAGGCGGGGCCCGCGCAGGGTCCCCGTGTGGAACTGAACCCCAAAAACCGCCTCGCGCCCCCCCCGCCGCCGGTGGTAACAGCGCACCTGGGGGGGAGGGGCACAGGTGGGCGGAGGTTCGCACAGGTGAGCGGGGGTCTCACACAGAGGGCGGGGGTCGCACAGGTGAGCGGGGGGGGTCGCACATAGTGGGGGGTCGCACACAGAGGGCGGGGGTCGCACAGGTGAGCGGGGGTCGCACACAGAGGGAGGGGGTCGCACATGGGGGGGTCGCACACCGAGAGCGGGGGTCGCACACAAAGGGCGGGGGTCTCACATAGTGGGGGCGTCGCACACAGAGGGCGAGGGTCGCACACAGAGGGCGGGGGTCGCACACAGAGAGCGGGGGTCGCACACAAAGGGCGGGGTCCCCCCTCCCCGCGGGCCCCCCTCACCATCACATCGCCCTTGAGCAGCAGCGCTGGTTCCAGGGTGACACAGAGAGACTGCGAGGCGGGGGGGCTGCGGGAAAAGGGGGGGCTCAGGGTTTGGGGGGGCCGCGGGGAAAGGGGGGGCATTGGGGGGGCATGGTTTGGGGGGGCACGTTTGGGGCAATCATTTTGGAGGGGTGTGTCAGGATTGCGGGTACCCCCTCAAACCTCAGCATTCACAGAGGTCACTGGGGGAAACTGGGGGCAGCCCCTGCACCCCTCAAAGTGGGGGGGGGGGGGGGGTGTGGGGTGCGCAGGTCAGGTTGGGGGGCGGGGCTGTGAGCCTTGGGGGCGGCCCAGGACCCCCAAACGGGCACAGTGGGGGACGGGAGGGGTGGGGGACGCCCCCGGCAGGGTGTGGGCGAGGTTTGGGAGGCTCCGGGACCCCCCCGAGGTGCAGGGGAGGTCAGGTTTTGGGGGGGGGGGTCACTCACTAGACCCCCGAGGTGTAGACGAGCTGCAGCGATTGGTAGATCTTGAGGAAGGGGCGGCAACCTGGGGGGGGCACGGGGGGATTATCGGCGGCCCTGGGGGGCTGCCGGGGTCCTCCCCCCCCACCCCAAACTGACCGTCGGGGGGGTCGTAGGCGGGCAGGGGGGGCAGCAGGACGTGGTGCAGGAACTGGGGGGAGCTGTTCAGGCGGAGCCGCCCCGAGAGCAGCGCCCCAAAATCCTCCGTGTACCTGGGGGGACGGGGGGGCACGGGTGGAACCCCAAAACCGCCCCAAAACCGTGCCAAAAATCCCCTCGAAACGAGCCCAAACACCAACTGAAACCACGCCAAAAAGAACCTCAAAACCACCCCAAAACAGCCCTAAGAATCACCCCAAAACCATCCCAAAAATCACCCTAAACCACACCAGAAGTTACCCCTAGAACACTTAAAAGCCATCCCAAAAGCACCCAAAAATCACCCCCAAAACACCCCCCAAAAACCCCTCAAAACTACCCCAAAAACCACTGCCCCAAATCACCTCCATAACACCCCAAATCACCCCCAGAACACCCCAAATCATCCCCAAAACACCCCAAAAATCACCCCCAAACACCCCAAACCCCCTCAAAACTACTCCAAAAACCATTGCCCCAAATCACCCCAAACACCCCAAATCACCCCAAAACACCCCCAAAACAGCCCAAATCACCCCAAAACAGCCCAAATCACCCCCAAGCACCCCCAAAATACCTCAAATCACCCCCCAAACCCCCTCAAAACTACTCCAAAAACCACGGCCCCAAATCACCCCAAAACACCCCAAAAACCAACCCAAATCACCCCAAAATACCCCAAAACACCCCAAATCACCCCAAAACACTCCAAATGACCCCAAATCACCCTCAAAACACCCCAAATCCCGCCATTGCCTCCCCAGGACCCCCCCCCCCCAGCCCCCCCACCTGCGCTGGGAGGGCTGCAGGACCCCCCCCAATTTCTCCTCGCAGAATCTCCTCATGCTCAGTGCGTTCAGCGCCTGCTCGGGGCTGGGGGCAGAAAAGGGGGGTGAGGTTCCCCCAAAGCCTCCGGGACCCCCAGTCCTCCCCCAAACCCCGCACGATTTCTCCACAGCCCCAATCCCCCCACTGCCCCTTTACCCCCCCAGGACACCCCTCACTCTCCCATGAACCCTCCCGGGACCCCCGCCCTGCCCCCCAACCCCCCATTACCTCCTATAAACCCCCACCAGCCCCCCCGTACCCCCCTCGGTACCCCCAAAGACCCCCGGCCCCCCTCACCTGCCCCACACGTCGCTGTAGTGCAGAAACGCCCCACGACCACCCCGACCGGGGCCTTGCTGCCCTGGGGGACGGGACGGGACGGGTGAGGACCCCCCAGTACCCCCCAGTACCCCCCAGTACCCCCAGTAACCCCCCCATGGCTCCGGGGCCCCCCCGAGTGTCTCCCAGAGTCTCCCCAGCACCACCCAGTGCCCCCCGCAGTCCCGAGCGCATCCCAGGGACCCCCAGTGTCCCCCCTCAGTGCCCCCCAAGTGCCCCCCAATGCCCCTTCCCAGTGCCCCCCCCACCACCCAGTGCCTCCCAGTGACCCCCAGTGCCCCCCCAGTGTTCCCCCCATTGCCCCTCCCAGTGCTCTTCCTGCCCCCCAATGCCCCTTCCCAGTGCCCCCCAGTGTTCCCCCCAGTGCCTCCCAGTGACCCCCCCAGTGACCCCCCCAGTGCCCCCCCAGTGCTCTTCCTGCCCCCCAATGCCCCTTCCCAGTGCCCCCCTCAGTGCCCCCATCAGTGTCTCCCAGTGACCCCCCCAGTGCCCCCTCCAGTGACCCCCCCAGTGCCCCCCCAGTGCCCCTCCCTGTCCCCCAATGCCCCTCCCCAGTGCCCCCCTCAGTGCCCCCTCAGTGTTCCCCGCAGTGCCTCCAGTGCCCCCCAATGCCCCTCCCCAGTGCCCCCCCAGTGCCCCCCCGTGCCCCTCCCCGTTCCCCAGCCCCCTCCCCGCTGTCCGCAGCCCCCCGGCCCCCGCCCCGGCCCCACCTTGCAGAGCAGCACGGCCACGTTGCGGGGGTGCCCCCCCAGACACCCCTCGAGCGCTTTGCAGACGGAGCAGAGCAGCTCCAGGGGGGGCGCGAGCAGCTCCGGCCACCCGAAATCCAGACCTGGGGGGGGGGGGGGGGAGAGGGCTCAGAGCCGGCACCCCGAACCCACCGGGACACCCCCAAACCCCACGGGACACCCCAAACCCCACGGGACACCCCAAACACCGCGGGACACCCCGAACCCACCGGGGACACCACAGACTCACCGGGAGACTCCAAACCCACCGGGGACATCCTGAGCCCACCGGGACACCCCGAACCCACCGGGGACACTCCAAACCCACCGGGGGCACCCCGAACCCACCGGGGGCACCCAAACACCGCGGGGGACCCCGAACCCACCGGGACACCTCAAACACCGCGGGACACCCCAAAACCCACCGGGGCATCCTGAGCCCACCGGGACACCCCAAACACCACGGGGGACCCCGAACCCACCGGGAGGCCCCCGAGACCCCAACTCCACTCCCGGAGACCCCGCAACCCCCCCGGGAACCCCCACCCGTCCCCCACCCCCTCCCGACCCCGCGGGACCTGCCCCAGGACCCCCCAAACCCGCGGACCCCCGGACCCCCCCTCACTTTGGGGTTCAGGCGCGGGAGGTCGCGGCGCTTCTCGGCCAGGTTGAAAATCTGCGGGGGCACCGCGGGCTCGGGGGGAGCTCGGAGCCACCGGGAGCGCCCCAAAACTGCCCTGGAACCCCCAAATCCCAGCCCCACCACCCACTCCCGGCTCCCTCGTGCCCTATTACCCCCCCCCCCCCCATTGCTCCAGTGCCCCCGCACCCCTCTCGACCCCCCCAGTGCCCCCAGAGCCCTCTCAGAGCCGCTCCAGATGCCCCAGCTGTTGTCCCCATTGCCTCAGTTGTCCCCCCAGCAGCCGCATTCGCTCCAGTTGCCGCCCCAGCTGCCCCAGCTGTTGCCCCAGTTACTCCCCCAGCAGTCCCAGCTGCCCCTCAAGCAGCCTCAGTTACCCCCAGAAACCCCTGGTGACCTCCAGTTGCCCCCCAGCAGCCCCAGTTACCCCCTAGCAGTTCCAGCTGCCCCCCAAGCAGCCTCAGTTACCCCCTAGAAGCCCCAGGTGCCTCCCCAGGCGCCCCCCCAGGTGCCCCCCAGTTGCCCCAGTACCCCCCCAGGTGCCGCCCCAGCAGCTCCAGCAGCCCCCTCGGTGCCCCCCCAGCAGGCCCAGTACCCCAGATGCCCCCCAGGTGCCCCCCCCGGTGCCCCCCAGGTGCCCTCCCCAGGTGCCCCCCCCGGCTCACGGTGTAGTTGGGGCCGTGCCGCGCCCCCAGCAGCCGCGCCAGGTGCCGCAGGTGCCCCCCGGGCCCCCCCTCGCCCCCCGGCAGGGCCACGCTCAGGATCCGCTCGGTGACGAACGCCAGGTCCAGCGGGGGGCGGGCGCGGCCTCGGGGCTGGGGGCGCGGGGGGTCCTGGGGGGGAGCAGCGGCTCAGGATGGGGGGGGCCACCCCCAGAACCCCCGAACCCACCGGGGGGATCTGACCCTCGGCGCCCCAAATCTCCCCACCAGCACCCCAACCCTCCCCGGGACCCCCCAGCACCCCGAAACCTTTTGGGATCGCCCCCAAATTCCTCTAGACTCCTGCAGCACCCCAAAACCCTCTTGGGATCCCCCCCAGATTCCCCGACCTCCCGAGACCCACCCCCAGTACCCCAAAACCTCTTCGGATCCCCCCAAATTCCCCGCGCCCCCTCAGCACCCCAAAACCTCTTGGGATCGCCCCCAAATTCCCGGACCCCCCCGAAACCCCTCCCAGCACCCTAAAACCTTTTGGGATCCCCCCAAATTCTCTCAGACCCGCCCAGCACCCCAAAACCTTTTGGGATCGCCCCAAATTCCCCCCCCACCCAGCACCCCAAAACCTTTTGGGATCGCCCCAAATTCCCCCAGATCCCCCCCAGCACCCCAAACCCCGCACCTGGGCAGGGTGCTCCGCTGGGGGGCGCTGTCGAGCGAGGAGCCCTGTAGGGTCCCGGGGGAGCCCCAAAAACGGGGGGGGCAAAAAGGGGTCAGGGGGGGTCCCAAAGCACGGGGGGAGCCAAGGGCGGTCCCCAAACACGGGGGTGAGGAAGGGGGGGGGTAAAGGAGGGGGTCCCCAAAATAGAGAGGGGTCGAGGGAATCAAGGGGGGGGCGGGGGGACTTGGGGTGTCCCCATAACACGGGGAGGGGCAGGGAGGTCCCCAAAACATGAGGGGGGTCGGGAGGGGCCAGGGATGGGTAAGGGGCGGCCAAGGGGGTGTCAGAGGGGTCCCCAAAACACCGCAGGGTCACGGGGAGGGGTCCGGGGGTCCCCAACTCCTAGGGAGGGTCCGGGGGGGTTGGGAGTCCCGGGGGGGGGGTTGGGGATACAGGGAGGGTTCGGGGTCACGGGGGGGTCAGGGAGTCCGGGGGGTTTCGGGGTTCCGGGGGTTTTGGGGTTCCGGGGGTCTCGGGCTTACGGGGGTTTTGGGGTTCCGGGGGTTTGGGGGTTCCGGGGGTCTCGGGGGTTCCGGGGGTCTCGGGGTTCCGGGGGTTTTGGGGTTCCGAGGTTTTGGGGTTCCCGAGGTGTTGGGGTTCCGGGGTTTTGGGGTTCCGGGGGTTTTGGGGTTCCGAGGTTTTGGGGTTCCCGAGGTGTTGGGGTTCCGGGGTTTCGGGGTTCGGGGGTCTCGGGGGTCTCACCACGCGCTCGCTGCGCCGCACCGGGGCCGTGTTCCGCCTCTGCAGGGGCACAGCGGGGTCTGGGGGTGCCGAGCACCGGGCAGGGGGCAGCGCCCTGCCCGGGGGGTCCCGAGGGGCATTCGGGGGGTTCAGCGGGAATATCGGGGTGCCGGGGCTGACACGGGTGTTTGGGGCTCTCGAGGGGGGATCCCGTCTCCTGCTCGGGGGGCTTGGGGGGGTTTCGCCCCTTCCGTGGGGTCCCTGATCCCGCCTGCGGAGTTTGGGGGTTCCGAGGGGAGTTCGGGGGGTCCTGCCCGGGGGTGCTTCGGGAGCTCGGGCGGTGTCCGAGGGGTCCGGGGGTTTTGAGGGGGATTTGGGGGGTCTCGGGGGGTCCTGCCCGGAGGCTTCGGGGAGGTCTCGTCCCCCCCCCCCCACTTACCAGCTCAGGCGGGGGCAGAGGTTGGCACGGTGACGTCACCTGGAGGAGGAGACGGGGATTGTCCCAAAGGGGACCCCAGCCCCAAAAGGGCCCCCCCGCCCTTGAGTGACGCCCCCGCCCCTGCCGTACCTTGCTCTCACATCTCTTGTGGGCGGCGACTTTGCAAACTGGAGGGACAACGGCGACATCAGAGACCCCAGGGACCCCCCAATATCCCCAGTATCCCCCCCACACACACCCTCCCGCTGCCCCAGCAACCTCTCAGTATCCCCAGTAACCTCCCAGTATCCCCAGTAACCGCCCACTGCCTGCAGTGAACTCCCCAGTAACCACCCACGGAACCCCCCAGTGCTCCCAGTAACTGCCCAGTGCCTTCCCAGTGCCCTCCCAGTGCTCCCAGTGCCTTCCCAGCGCCCTCCCAGTGCTCCCAGTAACTCCCCAGTGCCCTCCCAGTGCTCCCAGTAACTCCCCAGTGCCCTCCTAGTGCTCCCAGTAACTGCCCAGTGCCTTCCCAGTGCCCTCCCAGTGCTCCCAGTAACTGCCCAGTGCCCCCCCCAGTGCCGTCCCAGTGCTCCCAGTGCCCTCCCAGTGCCACCAGGAACTGCCCAGTGCCCTCCCAGTGCTCCCAGTAACCCCCCCTCCCCACCCCACCCAGCCCCCCGGTGTGTCCCGGGGGTGTCCCGGGGGTGTCACCTCTGCACACGAGCCCGTGGGGTCCCAGGGGGGTCCCGCAGCCCCCGCAGGGCGCCCCCCGGCGCAGGCTCCGCTCGCGGAACGCGTGGGGGGCGGCTGGGGACGGCCTCGGCTGGGGGGACACGGGGGCGTCACCGCTTGTCCCCCGCGTCCTCCCCGTGCCACCGCCACGACCTCCCGCGTCCATTCCGTGCCACCCCCACGACCCCACCGGATCCCATTTTTGTCTCCCCCGATGTCACCTCTCGTGTCCCCTCCATGTCCCCCCCCTTGCCACCCTCTGTGTCTCTTTTGTGAACCCCCCGTGTCCTCCCCGAGTCCCCTCGGTGACCGCCCCGTGTACGGCCCCCAGTCCCACCCAGTTCCCACCGTGTCACCTCCGTGTCCCCTCGTGTCGCCCCCTGCATAACCCCCGTCCTCCTCTGACCCCTCACGCGTCCCCAGGTGTCACCCCCGTGTCCCCTCGGTGTCACCCGTGTCCCTCCTTCTGTCCCCCATGTTCCCTCCATGACTTCCCACTGACCGCGCCGCGTCTCCTCCGTGTCACCCGTGTCCCCTCCATGGCGCCACACGTGTCCCCGCATGTGTCCCCACCATGTCCCCCTCTTGTCCCCCCCAATATTCCCCTGTGTCCTCTCTCGCATCCCGCTCCTGTCCCCCCACGTCGTCCCTGTGCCACCTCCGCGTCTCCCGTGTTCCTTCCGTGAGCCCCTCGTGTCCCACATGTCACTCCCCGTGCCCCCCCCCGTGTCCCCGCTTGTCCCTCCCGGAATTCCCGGTCCCTCCCGTGGCAGCCCCGCTCTCTCTCGTGTCCCCCCCATGTCGCTCATGTCCCACCCGTGTCCCCCAGTGTCCTCTCGCCTCCCTCCCCGTGTCCCCCTCCCCCCCCGGTGTCGTCCCGCGTGTCCCCCCCGCGTGCCCCCCGGCCCCTCTGGCCGCGGGCCACGGACAGCGCGTCCCGCAGGAAGCGGGGCCGGACCAGCCCAGGAAGCGGCGACCCCTGGGACGACCCCGCCGTTCCCACGGAGGGGGAGGGGCGTGGGAGCGTGTGCGGGGGGAGGGGGCAGCGGGGGGGGGTGGGACGGGGAGGGAGAGGCGTCGGAAAAACGGGAAAAAGTGGGGAAAAGTGGGAAAATGGGGGAAAATGGGGGAAAAGGGAAAGTGGAGACGAGGGGTGAGCGTGGGAAAATATGGGGAGGGGCGGCGGGGGGAGGGGGAGGGTCAGACTCGAATTTCCCACCCCCCCGCCCCGAGGTCACCCAGCGTCACGCGTGGGGAGGGGGCGGCTGGAGCGGGGGCGCCACGGGGGGGTCCCCCCGCACCCAGCCCCCCCTTCCCCGCCGAGGGGGTCCCCAACCTCCGCAGGACCCCCCCCCCCCCCCCCGGGGAGCTCCCCCCGCTCCTACCGTGTCGGGGCCATCGCGGCGGCCGAGCGCGCGCAGCAGCGTCCCCACGGCCCCGGGGGGCTTCATGGGGGGCTCCACGGGGACCTCGGGGGGTCCCAGGCACGGCCCGGGCTCTCGGGGCTCCCCGCGGGTCCCGCGAGCGGCTCCGTGGCCGAAGGCGCGCGGGGAGGGGCCGTTTCCGCGAGCCCGGAGCCGCTTCCCGTGCCGGGGGGGGACACGGACACGGGGGGGACACGGGGGGGACGACACGGGAACGACACGTGTGGCCACGGGGAGGGGACACCGGGAGGGACATAGAGGAGCCAAGGGGGAGACACGGGAGACACACAGAGGAGACACACGGGGGACACGGGGGGACACGGGAGGGACACGGGGACGGGACACCGGGAGGATCACAGGGGACACAAGAGGAGGGACACAGGGGGGACACGCGGGGTGACACCTCCCTCTGCTGACGGTGCCTCAGTTTCCCCCTTTCTCACTTCCAGGGTCCCCCAAATTTCCTCCCGAGCCCCCCGGCACCTTCCTGGCGCTGCCCCCGCCCCCTCCTCTTCATCCTCCTCCTCCTCCTCCCACCGCCCCCCCGCTAACCCGCTCCCGCGGGCCCCGGGGACCCCCAAACTCGGGGGGAAAGGGGGGGCTGGACCCACCCCATGGGGATCCCCAAAGTCAAGGAGAAGGGGGAGGCTGAGACCCCCCCCACGGAACCCCCAGATTAGGTGGGAAAGGGGATCCTCAGCCCCATGCGACCCCCAAACTCGGGCCGGGGGATGTTGGTTCGGGGGCCTCAAGAGACCCCAGCGTCTCGGGCTGGGCTCCCCAGGGGGTGCAGGGACCCCAAACCCCTCCCGTGCGAGGCCCCTGGCGGGGGAGCTCCTTTCAAGGGGAGGAATTGGTGTTCAGGGGTTTTGGGGAGCGTTGGGGTGGGGGTTATTGAAGGAGGAGAGGATTTAGGGTGCAAAGAGGGTTTTGGGGTGCAGGGCCGGTTTTGAGAGCGGGTTATTGTGCAGGGGCCGTTGGGGTGCAGGGAGGGGATTGGGGTTCAGGAGGGGAATTGGGGAGGGGCTTTTGGGGGTGCAAGAAGAGGATTTGGGTTTGAGGTTTTCGAGGCGCAGAGGGGATTGAGGGGCCGGTTGGGGTCCCCTTCTCCCGGCCCTTGGGGTCCTACCCCCGCCCCCATCCCGGCCAGGACAGACCCCCCTTTGTGGGGCTGGAGCCGCCGGGGGGGGGGGGGCCCGCATTCCAGCGGTGGGGGAGGCGGTTCCAGCATTCCAGCGGTTGGGATTGGGAAGCCGGGAAAGAGGAAGGGCCGGGGGGGGGGGGGGGCGGCATCCCGGGGCTCGGTGCTGTGCCCGCGTCCCCAATTAATCACCGTTAATTAACGGGGGCGGAGGAGGAATGGAAGGACGCAAAGAAGGAAGGATCAGGATGAAGGTGAAGGAGGAAAAATGAAAAAGGAGAGGAAGAGGATGAAGAATTAGGGATGAGGAGGAAGAAGATAGAAGGATAGAAGGTGGAGAAAAGCGAAGGAGGAAGAAGAATGGGAGGAGGGACAGAGGGAAGGAGGAAGAAGGAAAAAGAAGGAAGGAGGAGGAAGAAAATGAGGTGGAAGTTGAAGGGGAAGCAGGAGATGGAATGATGGAGAGGAGGAATAAATAAGGAAGTGGAAGAGGAAAGGGGGGAAGAACTGGAGAGGATGGAAGGAAGGAGGAGGATGGAGGAGGAGAAAAGGCAGGAAGAAGGAAGGAATGAAGAAGAATGAGGAAGGAGGAGGAAAGACGGAATGAGGGGACAGAAGGATGCAAGAAGCAAAAAGGAAGCCCAGAGAAAGGAACACCAACGTGAGGACAGGAAATTCCCCCTGGGGGGCTTTGGGAACTGCCCCGCTCCCCTCCAAGGCGGGGAGGAGAAGGGCAGAAGGATTTGGGGCCTTTCTGTTCTTTTTCAGCTCATTTTATTGGAGAAAACAAACAGCCCCCAGCCTGGGGGAGAACCCCAAAACTCCCCCAGGACCTCCCAAAACCTCTGGGAAGGTTCTTTTTACACATTTTTACAGCCCACCCCAAATCTCAAAATCTCAGAGTATCTTGAGGTTCTGGGGTGGAAATCCAGGTTTTCCTGTGTAAAGGGCAGGGTTTGCATCCCAAAAATTGGGTGGGGGAACTGGGGGGACACCTGTGAGCAGGAGGATGATGAAGGTGTCCAGGGGGAAATCAACATTCCAGAGGTGAGGAAAATGGGGGGCAGAGGGGGATCAGGAGGGGGGATTGGATGCCTCCCAATCCCTGTTTTGGAGGGGCTCCAGTGAGGAGGGGGTGGGAGGAAGGCCAGCTCTTCCTCACCCCTTATTCCATGAAAAACACAGAGAGGGGGGCTTTTCTTTCAAGGAAACTCTTGGAATTACTCCTCCCGCCCCCTGTGCTGATTTTGGGGTGATTCCCATTCGTTCATGGTGGGGTTTTTTTTTTGGGATTTAAGAAGCTGTAGCTGAGGGAATTGATGAGTTTTAGGCTTTATTTCAGTCTCGCCTGGATCAAGGTTGGGATTTTTGGGAATCTCCGGAGGTTCCCGTGGCAGCTGAGGAGGAGGAGGAGGGGGAGGAAGCTTTTACTCAGCTCCTTCTTCATCATCACCTTCATCCTCCCCATCCATGGAGAGCGCGGCATATTTGCTGGCATGGCTGAACTGCAGGAAAAACCAGGAAAAATTCCCAAAAATGGGATGTGAGAGGGATAAAACTCCCCAGGGGCTCACATCCCAAAACCAGAGGGTCACAGCCTCCCAAAAGGGACCATAGAAATCCAAAACTGCTGGGGAGGTTGAGCTGGGAGGGCCAGGGGGCCATTGTTGAAAAAAAATTCCCCAAGCCCCCCAAAAAAATCCAGATTTGCATGGGGTGAAGACCCCCAGGGAGTCATGCACCCCAAAAGGGGTTTCACACTGCCCAAGGCTGAGCTGTGGGGGTGGGCAGAGGGAGGGGGACAGTAAAGCAGAAAATTCCCAAAATATCCCAAAAAATGAGATTTGAGAGGTCAAAGTCCCCTGGGGGTCCCCTCACCCCAAAGAGGGGTCCCAGCCCCTGCTGCTAACTGGAGGCATGGGGCATCAGTTATGGTGAAATTCCCCAAACCCCCCAAACCCGGGATTTGAGGGGGGTCCCCCTGGATCCTTACAGAGGGGGGGTTCTCCTCCAGTTTCTTTGGCTCGTGCTCCTTCCGGGGGTCCCTCCTAAGGAGCAGAGGTCAGAGGTCAATTTCTGGAAAATTCTGTGTACCCGGGGGGGGGTTCCCGGTTCCTGAGGGGGTTTTTGGGGGGGTCTCACCTCTCAGGGTCCCCCATTCCTGCAGGGCCACGGCTGCAGCTCCGGCCCTTGGAGCTGCTCTCCCGACCCCCTTCAGGCTTCAGCTCCTCTGCTGGGAAAGGATGGGGGGGTCACAGCCCCCAGAAACCCCTGAGCCCCCCAGCAAGGCCTCAACATCCCTGGAATCCCCCCCAACCCCCTTTAAAACCCCCCACAAAATGCCTCAACCCTCCCAGATCCCCTGATACCAACCTCCCCCCAAGCTCCCCTAAAATCCCCCAAACCTCCCCTAAACACCTTCTGAGCTCCTCAAGTGCTCCCAAGACTTCCCCAAATCCCCAAAACCAACCCTGAGCCTTCCCAATCCCCTCCTCCCATTCTCACCTCTCCTCTGGGGGGTCCTGGGGGGGCCCCCATCATCTCCAGGGGGGGTGGGGCCAGAGGGGCCCCCACTGGGGAGACAGAAAAGGGGGGAGAGGCATCAGGGGGGGTCCCTGGAATGGCCCCATTCCAGGGACATGGGGGAATGGGGCATGGGAATGTTGGGATAGGGCCTGGGAATAGAGCACAGGAACATCCCCGAGCTACAGAAAGTTGCGATTGGGCACAAGAATGCTGGGATGGAGCCCAGGAAGGTTGGGATGAGCAGAAGAGCCTCCATGGGCTGCAGGGGTGTTGGGATGTGCCATAGAACATGGGGATGGGGCACGGTAATATTGGGATGTGTGGCAGGAGCATCCCCGGGCCACTGGAATGTTGGGATGTGCCAGTGACTCCATGGAATGGGCCACAGGAACACTGGGATGGTGCACAGGAACACCTCTGTGATACAGGGATGTTGGGATGGGCCCTAGAAAGGTTGGGATAGGCAGCAGAACTGTTGAGATGCACTACAGGATCATCCCTGGGAATGTCAGGGTCCCCTACTCCCAGCCCTTGGGGTCCTCCACTAGGGAAAAGCAGGGAGCCATGGAATGCTTTGGGCTGGAAAAGCACCCCCCAGGCCACTCCTTCCTGGGACACTCACCTGGTTGGGGAGGCTTGCTCCGAGTCAGAGCTCTGGGAATTGCCGGGGGGGTTCTGGCTGCTCCGCTTCATCCAGGCGTTTTCCTTGGGAGGCGGCGCTGGCATCACCTTCGGCTTCTCCTCCCGGGACTTGGGGGGCGGTGAGGGCGGCTCCTCCTCTTTTCCTAGGGGCTCATTTTCCAGGGATTTCTCGCTCTCCCTCCTCCGTGTGGCTGGGGGGACACAAAGCCGTGTGGCAGCTGCTGGCAGCCCCGGGCTGGGCGCCGCGGCCGCCCCGGACCCCGACTCACTCCGGCCGGTGGGGCCGGAGCCCGTGGACGTTCCCGGGGGTCCCGCGGGGCCGCTCTGGGAGGATTCGCTGCCTGTCCGGGATCGCTCCTGGTTCTCCTCGCTTCGCCAGCTTGGATGCCTGGGACAGGGTGGAAATAGGATCAGGGGACTGGGGAAGGGCTGCCCCACCCCACCTTTCCCATAGGATGAACATCATCCGACCCGAACCACTTCCAAGGATCATTGCCACCCATCCCGCTTTTCCATGGGGACCATTCCCTGTCCCGCCCATCTCTCTGTGGGGATCAGCCCCAAATTTCCTGAGGGATCATTCCCCGCCCATTCCCCCCTTTCCCAAGAAACCATTCCATATCCCCTCACCTTTTGGGTGGGATCATTCTTTGCCCATCCCATCACTACCAAGCAATCATTCCTTACCCATCCCATGTTTCCCAAAAGACAACTCCCA